TTAAGTTTAGTTTAATTTGAAGTACTAAAATTACCACAACTAAATAACCTAAAACTATAAAAACTATGTAAACATTATAAAAAATAATGAAAATGACAACTAAAATGAAAGTAAAAACAGAAAATATAAAAATAAAATCTAATTCAAAATATCAACAAAAACTACATCACTGATACTAAAATAACACTGGTTTGAACGGCACAAGATACAAAATACACAAACAAATCTATCAATTTATCAAATCAATCCCATGAGCCCTCAAATTAACTAAACTCTCATTTCAGTCAAATTGATAATATTACTGGATATTATGAGTCATTTGTGTCCACAAACTAAAGCTAAACACACACACGCAGTGACCCGACCTTTGACCTTTAGCGACATTATCTCCCTGACCTTTGACCTCTATTGTTATCAATTCCTGATCTGAGAGCAGCAGGTTGAAGGAGGCACATCTACACAAGGGTGTAACTTTGGTTTGAGAAGTGGGGGGGACACAAAATGGGGGAAAATGTTTTTGGGGGACATGTCCCCCCTGTCCCCAGTGGAAATTACGCCCCTGCAACTACAGATCAGAATTTCACAGAATTAACACCCTAGCAACCACACACCACACCCTAGCAACCATATAAAAGACTGTAGTGTTGTGCCGGTGAGTTCAGGCCATTCTCAGATAAATCTATAGCTCTTACACACACACACACACACACACACACTTTGCATAAACACTCACAAACACAGTCTGATCTAATCAGTGTTGTTCTTTGTGTAGTCACACACACACACTATTCAATTAAACCACAGCGGTGTGTGTGTGTAATCCTTCTATTCCATTAGTGAGAATCGATCCGGCCGCTGGAATCGCTGACTAACCTGCAAGAGCTGCGTGTGTGTGTGTGTGTGTGTGTGTGTTGAACATGAAACACTTACAGACACACACACACACACACAAACACACACAGATTAAACTCTTTTTGTGTTACTGCATTATGAGTCAGTGTCCTGTTGTGTGTGTGTGTGTGTGTGTGTGTGTGTGATTGTGTGTGTGTGTGTGTGTAAATGTGTGTGTTGAACATGAAACACACATACAGATTAAACTCTGTTTAAGTGTTTCTGCATTATGAGTCAGTGTCCTGTTGTGTGTGTGTGTGTGTGTGTGTGTGTGTGACAGTAAACGCGCATCACTTCAGTCCGTCTCCCGCTGCTCATTAAATGCCAGAGATGTCAATCAAACTCCAGCGGCTTTATTGTGGCGCCAAGCGAGTGATTCATCCCCCCCCCCACCGACACTGATTGCACAGATGCATGCTGGGAAGCGCAGTCTCAGAGCTGAGAGGACAAAGTTCACACGCTAAAACATTGATTACTGAAGGACTGTTAGTGTTCAGTTCATCACTGATGCTGCAGGAATGACACACTGCAGCTTTGAGAGGATTGCTATACTGAATAACTCATCATAACTCATCATCTGTCATCTTCCAGAGCTGAATCTGGAGCGCATGTGTGTTTGTTCTTCTCTTATCATCATGTAAATAATTTCACTGATGATGATGACAGTAATAGTTCACTGACAGATTGATCAAAAAATGATATTTTTCATATGTTGTATTACAGACACATGCGGTGCCCTGCTTCTGTTTCTGACACGCTGTATGTGCGAGATGAAGGTGAGAAGAGACGGTCTGGTCCAGCATCCATAACTGCAGAACCACTCAGTGCTGGTAAAATCACCTGAAGAGCAGCGCGTGGACCTCCACTGTTTCTCTGGCCTTCAGATGTAGAAATACAGAGCGAATCTGCTGAAAACCTCCCAAACTCAGAGACCTCAAGAGTCACACGTGAACATCTGAGTCTACAGAGACTGTTCAGTCAAACCTCTCCATACTGATTTCTGACATATGGTGCGTTCAAGTTCATATTTACAATTTGGGAAGTCATAATTACGACATCCGATGCGTTCAGATCACTTGAGTCAATGTGCCATTTCTTTGTGTTTATTAAATTCATGAAGGTGCTGTAAAATTTACATTTACATTTAGTCATTTAGCAGACATTTTTATCCAAAGCGACTTACAAATGAGGACAATAAAAGCAGTCAAAACTAACAAAAGAGCAACAATATATAAGTGCAAATGACAAGTAGACATAGGCAAAGTGCGCAGGTTGTTAGGATTGCGCTGCCTACAGTGTGTGATGCATGGTTTGCGAGTGGTAGTGATAGTAAGGATCTGGAAACACAATGAAAATTGTATTTGAATCGTTACATATCTTACAATACTATGATGTTTTGTACATGCAATCTAGTTTTATTGTAAATTAATAAAATAATCATTTAAATCATTGAAACAAATTTACTGTCTTGACTTGAAATCTGACTTGACCTGAGCGCACCAATATAAGGATCTGATGCTGCTAATGAGGCTCGTTCATCACATCTGATCCGGACACACACATCAGCATCTCGAGGAGACCCTGCGCCCGGGGCTGATGGGTAAACCGGGTCAAACACACATTCGTCAGCCCTGAGGAAAACACGAGGAGACTGATATCACAGACACGAGGACAGGTCTCGCTGTGATTGGCCAGAAGCTCAGGATCCTTCATGTGGAAGCTGATTAACCCACAGAACAGCCTTCCTCTGATTAAACACCATCAGGACATGATACTGCATCCAGACTAGTGGTTGACCAATATATTGCCAAGGCCGATATTTGGCATTTTTCAAATATCGGCATCGGCCGATAAGTTTTTCTGCTTGGCCGATGTGTTCGAGGCGGGAGTTTTATTTTGACGGCGCTGAGAGCGGCAGCACCTGAGCGCACACCGCTCACATTCTCCCTCTTGTTCACTGTCATCGTTAACAGTTCTGTCTAATACGGATAGAAGTCTGTCTAAGCTTTTTAGTCTATGCTTTTTAGCTTTTAGCAGGCTTTTTGCGTCTAGCTTTTAGTTTTTCGCTTTTAGTCATGTGCTTTCAAGTCATCACTTTTAGCCATTCGGCTTTTTAGTCATAGCTTTGAGCTATGCTTTTTAGTCATCGCCTTTTTAGCGCTTTAGTTTTTTTGGTCATGGCTTCTAGCTGTGCTTTTCAGTCATCGCTTTTTGCGCTCTTTGAGCGTGCTCTGGCTTACACGCCAGCTCCTCCAAAACCATGAGGAGAAACGCCACCTAGTCTCGTCAAACTTTACTTCTATTTCTTTACTTTAGTTTCTTTTCTTTTCCGTTGAGAGTTTCGTGTTCTGAGTTAAGTTGCCTAACGCTGTGTCTCCGAGTCCGACCTCGAGTGCCGGCAAAGGCGATTATATTGCCAAGGTGTGCGTAGAGGGTTGTTATGCATTTGCCCAATGTCATATTCATGTCATTTTCTCTGTGTGCTGTATGTAAAATGAGTGTTACCCTGGCTTTATTTGAAAAATATGATTCTGCACACAAACTTCCCAGAATCCTGAGTGCCCTGTTGGTTACAGTGTTTACTTCCGTTTTAATTATATTTTAATTAAATATTTATTTATTTGTGAAAAATACTTTGTCATCTAAAGTATAAGTATGTTTATTTTACAAATTTTTTAATCCATTGTCAAATTATTTCAAATTTCTTAAATATTAATTAAAATTAAAAACAAATTATATCGGCTTTATATCGGCCACCCTGCTTTCCAAGATATCGGCATCGGCTGTCAAAAAAACAATATCGGTCGACCACTAATCCAGACCATTCCTAAACTAGTCCTAACTCTAGCCCAAACCATGAGCCACCTTTGAAACCACACAACATGATCAGAGAATCATGACTAGCCATATTTATATATTATTCGTATATAGCAATGCCACATTAATGTCTCCAGACTCTTACCTTTTGTTGTTGGTCAAAGTGTTTTCTTAAATCCATGGCGTTTTGCTTGACAAACACATGATCAGCGGCAAAATTTAATTTTAAAACCCAAATTGCATATCATTTTAATAAACACAACTACTTTTAATAGAAATAGGAATATTGAAAGGTCTGCTGCTGGAGACTTGCCATTGGCTGTTGTGTTTGAATAATTAATTAGGCAATTCCACAAGGTTATTATAGTTAACTGAAACTAAAAAATAAACCATAAAAAATCATTACTTAAAATTTAGTTTAGCTTGAAGTACTAAACTAACTAACTAAATAAACTAAAACCACACTATTTTTCTAAGTTGTAAATAAATAAATAAAATTACAAAAAAATGCAGTTTACAAGAAAATACTATTTCAGTCTTTCTACTTCAAATTTTCACATTAAATTCAACATGTAACTTGCCATTTCTTTTTTTTATTATTTGTGAAATTTACTAGCAATTTCGAAGTGAATAATATAAAAATATAAAAATCAATAAAAAATATATACAAATCAAATTCAAAATATTAACAAAAGCTATAAAAGCATATCAATAATTTTAAAATCAGGTAGATCTATGCGAGGTTTGGCTGCTGCTTTTACTAGTCATTAATAAATGAGGTTTGCATTGATGGTAATGGCCGGACATACAGTATCACACATGACTGCACACACGCATGTAGACATGTAGGGTTAGATATGATGAGTAGAGAGGGTTTATGTCTCTCTACACGCCCTATATAACGCTGCACATCATATCTAACCCTGCTCGTCATGTGTATGTCTCTAACGCCCTGCGAGAGCAGTGCTGTCACTGAATGAGCGCTGTGATTCCTGGCTGACGCTTCGTGCATCTTTAATGCCTCATAAACGCCTTTGCTAGCAGCGATGAGACGCGCGCACAGGTGCGCGTGAGAAAAACAACGCGTGCGACTGACTCGTTACAGAAATCAAAGCAAAACATCCGTGTTCGTCAAACAGGCGCGCGCGCGTCTGCACTGCGGTACATGTGTGTGTCTCAGCATCATCATCATCATCCTCCTCCTCCTCCTCCTCCTCACAGAGCGCGTGCATCCTCGCAGCATCGCGTGTCTCCTCGTACACATCCAGCGTCAGTAAACGCGCGGTTCTTACCTGCGGATGCGACTGTGCCGTCCGTTCACCTTCAGCTGACGCTCCCGTTCCGCAGCGCGTCGCCGGGCGGACTGACAGCGCGGGGCTCGAGCGCAGCGCGACGCGCTTCTCTCAAGCACCTGATTGGACGGGACGCGGTGACGCGCACGTGAAGAAGCAGTGGAAAGGCGCTGATTGGCTGATTCAGCTGTCAGCCAATAATACAAGTGTGTTAGTCACGAGCAGCTGATACATGAAAATACACCTGACCTATCTGTCTATCTGACTATCTAACTATGTCTGTCTGTCTGTGTGTCTATCTATCTATTTATCTATCCATCTATCTAACTATGTCTGTCTGTCTGTGTGTCTATCTATCTATCTATCTATCTATCTATCTATCTGTCTATATATCCATCTATGTCTGTCTGTCTGTCTGTCTGTCTATCTATCCATCTAACTATGTCTGTCTGTCTGTCTGTCTATCTGTCTGTGTGT